GACTTGCTCCTGATTATGATGCTTTGGATGTTGCCAACAAAATTGGGATCATCTAAACTGAGTCCAACGGGCTAATTCTAAATATAAATTTTCCTCACCATAAAAAAAAGTAGGTGTATACAGCTCACTGGAAATGTTGTTAGGTGTCATCAAGTAGACTATAATTCATAGAGACCCAGGAGCAACAGATCTGCACCTTGCCTTGTCCCGTGGCATCCTCATGCTTTCTAATATGTTCTAGCCCGTTGTTAGTTACAGTGTCAGTCCGTCTCATTGACAGTCTTTCCCTCTTTCACTAGCCCTTTACCTTTCCCAGCGTGCTGTATTTTTCAAGAAACTGGTTTCTCCTCACAATACGCCCAGAGTAGGTGAAATGGTTTCACCTCCTTGCCTCTAAGGAGTTCTCCAGTTGTACTTCCTCCAAGGCAGATTTGCTTGGTTTTTTGGCAGTCCACGGGATATTAGATATTCTTCAACAATTCCTTACTTCAAATGAGGCCGCCCAAATCAATTGCTCGATGTAAGTAATGCAAACAATGTGCGTTGCTGGGCTGCCTTGTCCCCGTGACTATCAAGGCATGTGATTCACAGTTGCCTCTTACAGTAACCTGACCATAACGTTGGGATTGAGTGATTGGACTTAGGTATGGAGGTTGGAGTCTTCAGTCTCAGGGAACCCTGGATGCAGTCACACTCTGCTTCACACAGACAGTGGAAATGGCTTTACTAAGACCACAGGAGCCTGGGACTAAAAACACGCACTTCAAAGCAAGTGTGGTATATACATACAATGGACTATTGTTGAGTCTTAAAACAGTAAGAAGGACAGAAGAATATACAGTGTAGATGAATCCCCAAAACCATTATGTGAAGCAAAAGAAGCCACAGAAGGCCACACACATTGTATGATTGAATTTCTATGAAATATCCAGAGTAGGTAAATCTCTAGAAACAGAAAGCAGATGGTAGTTGCCTGGGATGGAGGTGGGAAGCAGTGGGAATGAGGTTTTGTTTTAAAATGATAAGATGTTTTCAGCTTGATAAAGGTGGAGGTTTCACGGCATTGTGAATATGCTAAATGCTGGTGAAATGTTCCCTTCAAAATGGTTCATTTTCTCTTACGTGACTTTCATCTCAACTTTTTTCTTTTATAAAATGAAAATTAAAAACACTCTCAGCAATGCTGCACAACAATTTAGCCTACAGAAGGATGTAAATAATTTATGCAAGATGCTTTCCTAGAGCTCAGCTTAACATCAGGGTGTGGAATCAGTCCACAGAATTCTCCCTGATGAGGCAAAAGGATGTAGAAAGGGAAGCCTGGGACAAGAGTCCCAGATTTTACCTAGCTCCTGGGCAAGTAACATCCTGGTTGTATGAACCATTTTCTTGCTTTTGAACTGTTCTACCTTCCCGGAAAGTCACAAATAGCAGTTTCTTAACCAAATCTTTCCGGGGGCTATGCTATCTGCCTCTAGGCTGCCTGATGACAGAATTATCTTGACGAGGATCCGCTCTGCAGGTGCACAGAGTGCTGCCTGCCCACCCGGTGAGGAGGGCATGGCCTTCAGGCCTCTGGCAGCTTCAGGCCTCTTGGGAGGGGCCAGTGGAACTCAACATAGGGCAGAGCTTTGGGGAGGAGAGGAGGCTAGTGGCAGAGAGCGAGAACACTGCATTGAAACAGATGAGGGAAAGAACTGTTCAAAAGGAATATATGATTAGGTATTATTTGCATGACAACAGTCCAGAATAAGAGCTGCATAGTAAAGTGGACTGGGAAGGGCAGAAATCGTACAACAATGAAATAATTTTGTTCAAAGAAAAGAGAACTGGAGGAGGGGGTTGGGCAGCGAGGAAACTGTGCAGCAATGAACGAATGGAAATCTGAGTTCTCTATAAACTTTCATTAAAATCTCAATTTAAAATTTTATTTTTCATTATAAGAAAGGGAGCAGAGGGCAGTCTAGGCCCCCAGGGAACCGCCCAGAGAGAGGAGGGGTTGGCTGCCATGGAGGGCTGAGGGGGCCCATGAGAAGGAGGGGGAGGGCTCTGTGTGTTTATGGGATGGGCCGGACTAGATGCTTACGTTTCCAGAGGAATCTTGGGCTGAGCCTGTGTGAGAGGCAGGGAGAGGCAGCACAGCAGCAGCCACTGGAGGACCGTGGTCTTCTGCCGTAAGGCCCCGACTGCTGGCCGTGGTGGGCAGGGAATCCTGCTGGAGCTGGAGCCGGGGTCAGGAGGGCGGGAGAGGAGTGACTTTTGTCTTCTGGTCACCCAGGATCGTTGAGCCATCCGTAAACCTTCTGCCTTCACAATCCTACAAGCCCAGTCTTCCAGTCTCGCCCTTGCTGGGATACCTGGTAGGGAAGTGGCTTCTCCCTTCCCTGCCGGCACTGCCAGGCTTCCAGGAGAGGGCTTGGTGCTGGAGAAGTTATGATCAAATGAATCCTTTTAATCCACTGGCCTCTCCTCTAATCCCCTGCCTGACAGCAGAGAGAGAGTGGTGGAGGGTGGGGGTGACCTCAGCAGGATTACCCTGATTCCAGGAGACAGGGTTCTGCTCCCTCCTTTAGGGGTCAGAGCACATGCTTCTGCTTTAAAGAGGCAGAACTGTTTCTGCAGAAAAGCCCCTGGACTCAAGAGAAAGGGAATGCTGGGATAGAGCTGACCTTTCTGTACTGAGAGATGTAGCAGATCCAGCTCTTTGACCCTCAGAACCACCCAGGGAGGTCAGAGCCATCATCCCTGTTTGACAGGTAGGTTCTTGAGGCCCAGGAAGGTACAGGGACTCTGACCCAGGTCATAGATAGTATCCACAGGCTGTGGACCCCCAGGTCCCCATCTCACCTTGTCATGGCTCTAGGTGGAGATATATTGTCTGTGAAGCTTTTGAAACTTCAGGACCCCTCACTTGGCTAGGTGAAGCCTTACCGGTATGTTCCAGTGGCCAGTGTTTTTGTAAAATATGTACAAATAAGAGATTTTAGCCATAACTAAAGTTAAAGTTGCATCTCTTTCCATTCTAATATCTCCTTTATCTCATCTTGATGTTTAAGTGGCTGTGGCTATTTTTTGGGACCCAAATAAGAGGAAGTTTAGTGAGAGAAACATTTAATTTGAGGTGAGACACTTCTCTGTAGCTGTAACTAAGTTATATGCAGCTGTCTAGATGTTTGAAGAACCAAATGGAATGTGAAATTGGAAGTTGAAGTGAAAGAACAGTCCCATTACCCACTGGGCCGATTCATCTCCTGTCCTGAAATACAGGCGAAGCAGCAGAAGACCCGTGGGTTTGTGGCCATATCCTATAATACCTGCCAATGGCAGTTTGTGGAAACTAACACCAAGACCTAAACCTGCTGTCCAGTCTTTCATGATCCATCACCACCCTGGAGGACGAAGTAGAACTGCCTTGTAGGATTTCCAAGACTGTAATCTCTGTAGTCGTAAATGCCTCTCTCAGAGGAGTTGATGGGTTCAAACCACTGACCTTTCAATTAGCAGTTGAGAGCTTAACCATGAGGAAAATAAGACTTGCAATCTGTGGAACCAGAAGCTAATGTGTGGGGCATTCTTCCAAAGATAAAACAAAATTAGCAGAGGATTTAGTTATAATCGAGCCCTCGCCAAAACAGAAGTTCTCTCCTTCTAGGAATAGTTGACACTAAATGAAAATAGTTTGGCGTTGAATTAGATACACACCATAGATTGTTTCATTCTCCAATTTGAATTGAACAAAACAGAATTGATCACTGTCTTTATGTGTGTGGGCACAAACTGGTAGCAGTATTCCATGAGTACATCTGCGTTAAAAACTGCATGTTTTATGCATTCAATCAGATTGGCTCTTAATTTCACTGATGCATCTTGTCCCGACAAAGTCTGATGGTTCCAGCAAAATGGTACGCAAAACTGCCACCAACGCATTGAGATGCCTGAAGAAGCAAGTGTTCTGGTGACAAAACTCCTACACACAGTCATCAATAAGTCAATGTTGTAGTCTAAGAGTAATCTGATTACACTATTATGTGGCTCAATACAGCAGAGCAGTAATTTTGAAATGTGTTTAGAATATTCATGCATGCCTTCATTTCAGGTTCACTTTGAGTGTTCTTCCAAAATTCTTTATCATTACAAATCTAGAAAAAGTATGACAGAGGTGTGTCGGGCAGTTCATAAATAAATGGAATGTGTACTTTTTGAAGTTTTAAGGCTTTTGTAGTATTCATCAGCTTTATAACAATGTGTAATTTGGAGTGGATTCTTTCCATGTTAATAACTGTGAACATTGTATATTTATTAAATAATGATAATGTTAATGAATAATATATTAACATCAAAAGTAAGCATTTTGAAAAGATAAATTTTCTGAATCATTAGAACTTTAAAATCCGGAGCGTTTTATATTTATTTTTGCATTTGTAATTTGTATTATTGATCTTCTAGGCAGTCTTCTTTGATGTAGAGTTGGAATTGATTCATTGCTGAACTTCCAGCAGGTTTTCTGAGGCACAGGAGGAGACTGCCCATATTTCTCTCATGGGACTAATGGATTCATTTGACCTGCCGGAGAGGCGGTGTCTGGGTTAGCAGAGCAACTCCTCACAGACAGCGCACCCGGACATTCCTAGATGACCCTCCAATTTCTAGATTCCAACTCCTTAGAACTTGGCTTTACCCAGTTACAATGCTCAGCACTAACCCATTAGAAAGAGTTAATTTGAGAGTTACTTGGAGCTCTCTGTCCTTGCTTGTCTCAGTGCTGTGATGGTGATCTGGGCCCCATAGAGCCCTTTAGACCTGCTTAGGATGCCCTTGAATTATTGTACTTATAAAGAAAAATTGATATTCAAATGTAATTCTCTATCAAGGTCTTGCATCATTCAAATTAACCTTAACCAGCCATGCAGAGAAAAACGTCTTACATAATTCTCAGACATGTTGTTCTGTGTGCATTGTTGGCTTTGGAATATTCTGTTGTGTATTGTGGAATGTACTAGGATTTATGCAGGACAGTGGGAGAGGGCTTTAGAATGCTTAACTTCAGAGATGGAATTTCTTCGCAGAAGTAGAGAGAAATTTGGGAGTGGAGCATGGAGCTAAGGAGATTTTCATCGTCAGAATGTTGTTGTCTGGCATTGAGTCAAAACTGACCTATAGGTGACCCTCCTGCAGGTTTTCAGAAGCAGTTAATTGCCCATCCACCCATGGAGCAGCTGGTGGATTCGAACTGTATGCCTTCAGGATTGCAGTGCAGCTTCTTGCCACTAAGCTACCAGTGCATCATTAGAATAAATCTTTGAAATTCAGCCTTCAGGGTTTCATCGTATTTGTCTCATTAACCATAGCCCAAGATGTGTATCATTGTGCCAGTTACATTAAAACACCCCCCTCTCACTCATTGCCGTGCAGTCAGAACTGACTCACAGCTGTGTCTCCATTGGTTTTCTGAGGTTGTAAGTCACATGGGAGGGAGCTGACCATTTTTCTTTCTTGGAGCCACTCTTTGGGTGAGCTGCAGCTAACCCAACTGCTTGTGGACTGGGCCACTAGAGCTCAAGCCACATAGGAGACAACATAAATCTTTATTTTTCTATGACAGAAAGAGGTTTCTGACCTCTTGGTTAGTTTGTCAGATGCCTCACACTCATTAAAAGTAACGTACTTCATGAGGCCTCTCTGTGTAGGTACTAGAGACACAGTGTGTACAGGTGGAATGATGGCTGGACATGACACTTGATAACTCTGAGTTATTCTAAGAGGGCCTGCCTTACACACTTCATTCAGTTAGTGCAAACTATGCCAGGTGACACATGCATATTTGGACAGCATTGTGAAAGGAACAATCAGTCTTCCTTTATGGTTGGAAAAGGGGAAAGAGAAACTTTAAGGAAGGCTTCAAAGTATAAGAAACATTGGAATTGGGCTTTAAAAGGATAAATAGGATTTTGCCAATTGGAAAGTAAGGATGATTTAAGAAACAGAATAGGAAGAACAGATGAATAGAAGCGGAAAGGCATGCATGTTATAATACAGGTTTTGGGAGATGATGAGTATCAGTTATCTGTTACTTCAAGACATGGTCATCAGGTTGGAATCAATTCAGAGCTGATCCTGCATTGTTTTCCTGAGGCTGTAAATTATGCTGGAAGAGAATCTCATCTTTCTTCCTTGGCACTGCTGGTGGATTTGAGCCAGCAGGAAGGTGCGATCTTTGGGTTAGTTAAAAACTTAGTGTCTAAAACAACAAAAGTAATTTCTTTGATTATTCATGCTGATAGATTGAGAATTCTCTAATAATTATCAATAATACTTCTTTAAATTCACGAATCTGCAGTTTGTGCGTGGTTCAGTAGGGAAATCCCATCTCTATTCCATTCACCGTCGCCTGGGAAGCTTAATGGGAGCTGAAGGACCATTTTAAAGAGGGATCGTTCATATAACTGACATGCTAGTGCTGGCTGCCACCAGTAGCTCAGTTGGGGCTGAGTACTAGTGACTCAGCTTTTCCAGGTTATGTGCTGCTTGAGTTTCCTCACAGAATGGGGCCTAGATGTCCCAAAATTAGCACCTCAGAAGGGGAAAGTGCCTTTTATTATCTGATTTTTTAAAATTATCTGATCTTATAAATTACATAGCATCACATTGGCTCTATTCTCTTGGTTAGCCACTTTTCCAATTTGACCCAGGTACAAAGGGAAGAAACAGATTTTTTCAGGCTTATTGTAAAACTGCTACAGTGATGGTGGTCTAATGTGTAACATGTTGCATGGCTAACCAAAAGGTCAGCAGCTCAACCCCAAAAGCTACTCCGTTAGAGGAAGATGAGAAATCTTCCATAAAGATTTACAGCCTTGGAAGCCCAAAAAGTGTGACTTCACTTGCTGGCAGTGAGGTTTTTTTGTTTTTGTTTTTGTTTTTTTGTTTTTTTTTAAATTCTTATAGTGAGGGGATGAGGTAAGATACAGAAGTAATAGGAGAAATTAAATAGGGGAATATTAGGTCACAACTAGATTAAGAAAGTATTATGCAAATTCTTTCTAAAGTCTAACTTAAATCTTTCCTATTGCAACTCCACGATTGGAAAATGAGTGTGGCAGAACGCAAGACATAGGGGATGGGAAGAAGAAAAAGAACAGGAAGAGATATTCCTGAATGACTGTAACTTGTGAACTAACAGACCATGAGCCCATATCTTTGCTCACAGCCCAGTGAGTAAAGGTCAAGGACAATGCCCTCAAATTCTCCTGTATAGGATGGAACTTGGTGAGAAGCGTGTGCATTTTCTTCAGCCTTGTCCTGCTTCACCCTCCTGCCTTTCCACTTTCTTGGCACCTCCTTTCCCTGGCCCCCTTCTGCCTCTTTTTCTTCCCCTTCTCTTGCTTTCCCCTGCCTGCTGCATGGTTCAAAATTGAGAAAGGTGTACCTCAGGGATGTGTCCTGTCTCCATACCTTTTCAACCTGTATGCAGAATAGATTATCCAAGAGGCTGGGCTCTATGAGGAGAAGTGTGG